ATTTTCTCTGAATTGTCTTCTAGCAGGAATGTTTATAATAGTGCAAAAGTCAAACTGCTTTTCACATGTGTAGACACGTGGTGCACTTACAGTGAAAGCAGTCGCCTACCATTACACACCATGATTATCATGGCCTGTACAACATGTACTAGGGATAAGCAAAAAAAAAAAAAGGATCAGGAATCAGCAATCTTTTGAGTCGGAAGAGTCAAAAATTACAATTTACAAAATTTCAAATTTTTTAAAGAGCCACAAAATGTTTTTATTGCCAACAATAAATAGTATATTATCGCATAAATAATATTTGCGTATGAAACTAAAGAGCCGCAGCTTCACACCCAAAGAGCTGCATGTGGCTCACGAGCCACAGTTTGCTGACCCCTGTCTTATATGTAAAATCAGTAAATGATGCATTAGGAAAATGTCCGTTGTTTAGAAATATCCATTGGGAAAATGTTTGGAAATGTCTGCTAGAGAGAATGTCTGTTTAGTGTGAACATATTTACAATGGAAGGGCAATTTTGTCATTAAAAATTGTCCATTATTTAGAGGTATCGGCTAGCCCTAGTGTCCACTAAGAGAGGTTCTACTGTAAAATGCATTGCTAGTAGAAATGGTAACATTGTCTAACTTCTATGTAAAAAAATCCTTGTTTCTAATTGGATAGAGAGTTGTAAACAACTTGTGGAATCCTGAGCCTACTATCTGTTGACCAGGCCTAATCAAACCTCTGTTAATAATACCAAATACAAATAAATAAAGTGTGTGACCAATAGAGCACATTTTGGATTATAGATAAGAAACACAAGGTCTTCTTTCTTATATCCACTCAATCATATCAGGCTATCAACCTTGTAGAGCTTGAGAGAAACACAAGGTAATAATACCAAATCCAAGACCAAAAATATATATTTATTTAAATTTGTTCTTATTACCTTGTGTTTCTAAATAGTGCAACGTTTTGGTAACATTGTTATCATTCAGTACTTTTGTCTGATGATGGAAACAAAGCTGGTACCAAAACATCACACACTATTTATATATTTGGATTTGGTCTTTTTATATTGTAAGATTATAAACTCAAAAGGAGCTTCTTCTATAGAATATGTTTATTTCGCTAGGTTTCGAACGACATCTTTCTTCAACGGCGTAAAGACAAGGTGTGATGTGAGATGCGTGCAATTATCTAGACGTACATTGTTATATAGAAGAAGCTCCTTTTGAGTTTATAATCTTACAATATAGTTATGGTAATCGAAAGTTGATGTCTACGTTTGTTTTTTTTTTACCTTGTGCAGTAATCATGTAGAGGCCACTTCTGGGGCCTCCACAAAGTTCACCCACAGTATCAATGGAAAGCTGGTGGACAATGAAGAAGCTGCCTCGACTAGAAAGAAGTGGACTTCGAGCATTCTTCTTTGTAAAACCAGCCCATCTCTTCACCTCCTTTTTATTTCTAGTTTTTGTAAATAACTTATAGTACTATAATAAATTTTCTTTTTATTTTAAATAAGCAGCTATTTGGGTTTTCTTTTTTTTTTAATATTTTAAAATAATATTTCGAATGATAATTTTTATTATAATTTTTATTTTTTAAATTTCTTTTTTATCACAGAGGGTGACCAGATAAAGATTTATTTTAAATTTTTTTAATTTTTTTTTTCGGTCACCCTGGGGAGAAAAAAAAAAGTTAGTCACGAGCAAGCTTTAGTGAGGGCTAGTTTTTTTTTATAGCAGGGATAGTATAGTGAAGCTCTTGAAAAATCAACAAAAATGTAGTTCTACAAGATTTTGGGGAGGGATTTCCAAGCCATCCAGCTGAAGCACTAAAGTTAAGTATTTTCTTTTAATAATGATTTTTTTAAACAGGTATATCCATGTGAATTTCCCCACTCAATCCTCATTGCCCGTTTCATTTATCTTATTCTTATCTTTGTATGACTGATCTAAGAAATAAATAAATATATTGTCATCTTAATCAAAAATTTTTTTATTTGTCTGTCATTCTTTTTTTTAACCCCAGTGCGCGCAGGATACATGTAAATTATATCTTTTATATAGCAGGATGTATTATTTTCGTGAACTCCCTGAGAATGAAAGAGGCTCATGGATTTCGGGACGATAGCGTCAGAAATCGGCTCATCAATCATTGCAGTAAGGGCAGTAGAAGTTTGTATTATGTATAAAAGAAAAATTCATGCTTTTAAATCCTTTCATTTTATATGTATAGATGGCGCGTTATTGCTTTGTGTTAATTTATGCTTAACTGGCCTTGTCTTTATTGTTTGCGAAAAGCATTGCTCGATGCAAATATTTTAATGTAATTCTACTGTCCTATAAACTTATGTCCATAGTTTTCTTAAAAACCATTTCTGAGATTCCATCCTTCAGTGCTGCGTATATAAGCAGAATCGTCCAATACAGTATTAGAGCTCTGAGAAGCGGTCTGGTGGATTAAATTGGCGAAACCGCTGGGGGGGTTCACCACTGATGAGCCAAGCCCTCCCAATATATTTTTCATTGCAGTAAGGGCAGTAGAGTTTGTATTATGTATAAAAGAAAAATTCGTGCTATTAAATACTTTCATTTTATATATATTATGTATTGTTTGTTGGAGAGGCACGATTTAATTCCGATCCAAATGTGTAAGCTCAAGTTTTTCTGATGTATAAATAATATACTTTACTGTGGCTTCAAACGATGTATGTCTCTAACTCTGATGCACTTCAAAAAAATTTCTAATAATATTGAAAATGTTGGAGAAAATTGCAAAAACACACAATGGCAAACACACAAAACCAATATAAGATTAATAGAATTATAAACGCTTAAAAACTTCGTCCAAACCATATGCAAATGTATACTCTAATCTAGAAATTTAGATAATGAACTAAAGTTCCATTTTAAATGAGGTCTGACTCTCCATATCAGAATATAGTATTAAGGATAAACCCTAAAGTGGATCAAAAAAAAAAATTAAATAATAATGTGACATTTGACCTTTAGTCCAAAGTTTCTTTATAAACTCAACATATGAGAATCTTACATTTGTATAAAGGATATTGAGGCTGACTCAACTATCACCTTCACAACTTTGAATTCCTATTGTAAGGTTACCACTTATGAACATAAAAAACATCAAGATATGCATGTATATATATTGTGGTGTTCTAAGTAAAAGAACGAGTTCCGCAGAACAATGAGAAGATCTATGACAATAGAAACTCTAACTTTATTAATCCTTTGACCTATATATAGATATCGCGCTTCTCGCGGATATGTAAATCTACCATCTTTTAAAAGAAAGAATGTAAAAATATACAAAACAAATCAATATCATGCAAATGTCGCGAGGTATGCGACAGACTCCCCCTCCATGACCTCTCATCACTCCTGTGATGGGACTCTGGGTGGTCTATGATGAAATTGTCCACCGGCCACTTGGTGATGGTTATATCCGGCTTCCAGTTGATGGGGGTCGAGGTTACATCAGTGATTTCTGGCCCTACCCTCACACCACCTTTGACAAGGCATCTCACTTGTACGATTTGGTCAATGTCTCGTTCTCTAGATTCGGGTTGGAATCGAAGTCAAAATGGATTGAAAATCCCATTGAACCTTCAAAGCTCTCGACACGAATGTCTTTAAGATATGCCAGAACAGGCTTGTCATAGGGTTGGATGTACTTGCTGGCCTGAGGAGCTTTCTTCAAGACAACTAGCCTGAAATATGGGACTCCTAACTTATCTAAGGCTTCAGTTTCTGAATGAGATTTTTGACTTTCTTCAACGGCAATCTGCGTGGATGTCTCTTCAATGAATTCAGTATGTATTATATAAGCAATGTTAAATTCTCGCATTTCATTATGGGTCCAAATTAGCTGAGAAACATTCTCGTAAAAAACATTCGGATTAGGATCATGCGGATATGCAAATCTACCATCTTTTAAAAGAAAGAATGTAAAAATATACAAAACAAATCAATATCATGCAAATGTCGCGAGGTATGCGACATATATATTTATACTTATTTATTTAATAAACATCCTAGAATAAAGAAATGGGCTACTCAAATTCTTAACCCTATTTATAATTTCTACATACATATACATATATTTAATTAAAAAGTCATATATTGGATCAAAAAATAATTTATTTTACCAATATTTCAGCTGGCTGAACGCCAACCTTTATCAAGGTGTTATAACATTTTAATTCGATGTTTTGAATACAAAAGATATGTTATAACACCTTGATAAAGGTTGGCGTTCAGCCAGCTGAAATATTGGTAAAATAAATTATTTTTTGATCCAATATATGCCTTTTTAATTAAAGATTTATCTATGGATTGCTCTATTTTCATATACATATATAGATGGAAAATTTGCCAGGAGGAAATTAATCCATGGAAGCAATGGTCGCCTCTCCCATCAAAATAAACGTCATAATCTGACGCCATCTATTGACCGTCGCCGCAACAAGCGGCATCGGGTCGGTGACAAAGCCACAACACCAACTTTGGCAAACTGATAAGCATCCACCTAGAGACCATGGTTTCGGGCTAATGGCCCTCGTCAGTCTAGGGCGGACTTTATTCCATGAGATCCACACGGGATCTAATGGAATCCTCACAATCTACCAAAGAGGTGTTTTGCTGGCAATGTGGCTGGGCCAAATCTATTGGCAAAACATAGATGGAAAATTTTCCGGGAGGAAATTAATCCATAGAAGCAATGGGCGCTTCTCCCGTCAAAATAAACGTTAGAATCTGACGCCATCTTTTGACCGTCGCCGCAACTAGCAGCCTCGGGTCAGTGACAAAGCCACAACACCAACAGCGCCCATTGCTTCTATGGATTAATTTCCTTCCGGCAAATTTTCCATCTATAATGGTAATATGGAATTTATATAATTTTTAAAATATATTTACCCTCTGAGCATCTAGAAGTATGAAATTTGGTATACTTGCTCAAACCCGATGATAATGCAAGTTGATACAATTTTAGACCTCAGGGTGGTCAAGGATGAACCCGGGCCGCCCGCGTGGCAGGCGAGCATTCTACCACTGAACCACCGATGGTTATGAGAAATGGCCATATTTGAGTATTTATTCCATTCACAAAAGCAAACGGTGACAGAATTGATTAAGAAAGGGCAATGCCCGGGTTTTACCGGATTAAATGCTTTTATTCAAATAATATTTGTTACAATTATAAATTGGCGCCGTGGATGTCATTCTTGTGAAACGTCCCGCTCCAAACTTTGTGTCTGAGAAGCGATATTTTTATAAAGAGATGATCTGGCTTTGTGCCTACTGCTCGAATGAATGTTTTTCTGTTAGAATTTTGTTCCTGCATACTAAAAATGAACTGGCTTCAACCGTGGTCTCTGCTTTTTGGAATTTTTCCGGATATAATTTTGTATCTGATAATCAAATATGATACAGCATTATTGTCATCATCATTTTCTGAATAAAAAATAACCACTTTTTTCCCAGAACCTGTCAATTTATTTTTCTTGACAAAAAATCCGAAAAATATCTTTTCCAGATTTTTCTCTATGTCCTGTTAAAACACGTTTTACATGTCCATTAGGTCAGCTGATATTACCTCCCATCTTCACCGCTAGAGGCGCTGTTTGCGAGCGAAAGGGCAAATTTGCCACGCAATTTGCAAATAACTTGTAGACATACTTTTATACTTGTGTACATAGACCATAAATCTGTACATAGACAAGAAGAGCACATATATTTTAATAATATAAATAAGTTTTAAAAATTGTAAAAAAAAAAAAATGCACCGGCCAGGAATCGAACCAGGGGCGCCCGCGTGGCAGGCGAGCATTCTACCACTGAACCAAAAGCAAACGGTGACAGAATTAAGAAAGAATTGTGCATGACGCTGATAACTGTAAATATTAATATATATAAATAAACCAAAAGGACCTCAAATAAAAAAAAAGGGAAGGAAGAAAGACAATTAATAATATGTAACTATAAATGTTTTGTGAAAAAATAGTACAAATGTAATATTGTACTGTGATAAGGTGCATAAATTAAGAAAAAGGCTTCTTCTTATCGAGCAACTGAAAGTTGCTGATGGCATGCGGCATCTATCGGAATAAATATCAACTATTCTCGTTGATTTTTGATTATTCCAGAATTGGCCAAATACCCATTCTTGATTAATCAAGAAAAGCTAACCACGGAAGCGTTTCGGGCTGTTGGCCTCATCAGCGTGTTTTATTTGAATCCAATGATGTATTTTGCTCACAATTATAATATTCACATACATAAAAGATGATACTTATAAATGACTGCGGCGTATAATTATAAAGCTATACAAACAGTATTACTGCATAAGTTTCTTTTATTTGTGAAAAATCACTTTTTTTTTTTTTTAATATCAAAGAGAAATATTTAATATTTCTAACTTTTGGATGAAGTATGGAAAGGTTGAATATGAAGCGTGATGGTCTATATATGAATGGATGACGCATGGCACGCTTCATATTCAACCTTTCCATACTTAATCCAAAAGTTAGAAATATTAAATATTTCTCTTTGATATAAAAAAAAAAAAGTGATTTTTCACAAATAAAAGAAACTTATGCGGTAAAACTGTTTGTATTTTTTTATAATTATACGCCGCAGTCATTTATAAGTATTATTAGTCAGTTTAAATATTAGTTACGAACAGAAAATTACGACCAGGATAGCCTAGTGGACATGGCACCTGCCCGGTAAGCAGAAGGTTGTGGGTTCGATTCCCGCTCCTGGACACTTTTATTTTTCCGTTCGCCATTACTCTTCATATTTTTCACCCTTCCATGCGTCATCCATTCATATATAGACCATCACGCTTCATATTCAACCTTTCCATACTTCATCCAAAAGTTAGAAATATTAAATATTTCTCTTTGATATTAAAAAAAAAAAGTGATTTTTCACAAATAAAAGAAACTTATGCGGTAAAACTGTTTGTATAGCTTTATAAAAGATGATGTTGGCCTAGGTAAATTGTTTAAAAAAAAAACCAAACTAACTATCGAAAAAAATGTATAACCCTTAACTCCCTAATGATATCTTAAAGAACAAGAAAAAATTCTTATTTACATTTGCAGTAGCTCCCCTTCGTGGGGAGCCTTTGACCAAAAAGCCCCCAGTTGTGCTCTCCTCCACGTCCACTCAAAAACTCCCTTTTTTCTCTCCCAGGGTGACCAAAATCATAGCCGAAAAATAATAAATCTCTGTCTGGTCACCATCTGTGATAAAAAAATATATATATATACCTAGGTGAAATATATATAATTTATATATATATATACTGAAATAAAATCTAAAATTATATCTCTATTACAAATTAATTAGATAATTCATGAGAATTATCTAAATTAATATATTCTAATTTAGAAAAGAATAATTAATTTTATCAATTCCCATGAATCATAAAACCAATTTGCAAAATGATTTTAAAATTATTTAATAAATAATTCAGATGAATTATTTCGAATCTACTCCTACTATTAAACAAAAAATTGCCTAGGCCAACATGAAAAAATATTTACATAAAAGAACAAAATAAGGCATGCGTTAGAAATTGGATGGTGTATTTTGACGTCCCTCAGGTCTTTAAAGGTTCTTTTCAGGTTGTAGGATGGATAATCCACTGGATACTCTTTCAGGTCACATGATATGTCAGCGCATGATGTGCCAGTGGCCTGCAGAATCCGGTCAAAGGGTATCCTGCAAATCCAACATCCAGCCGAGAACCTTATTTCCTTAAATTCACACTCATAATGTTTTCATTGTTGGGTCTGAGTCCAAAATGGACCCAACAAATGCGAGTTATAACATTTAAAATATTTCTCAGAAGGATTGTTTACCACTTCATAGGTAGAAAAAAAATGATAATTTACAGGTTTATATCTCTTAAACTCCTTATTAATATGAATGAAACACAATCAAAATTGATCAAAAAAATACTTAAAATTTAATTATATCTATATTTTTAAATATATTTTTCAAGTCTGGAAATTCAAGATTGTTTTGTTTTTAATATAACCTTTATATCCATATATCAAGTATTTCTACTTATGTAACTTGATTCAATAAAACAAACAATTGAATTGTTATCGCGAACGGCAAGTTGAAATATCTAAATGCTGGAATGGTTAAATTTTTATAGAAAAAGGTTTTATATAAATCAATAAAATGGTTAATGAGAGAATAGATAAAGACTTGAGTGAAAAAGTCAACTGCTTTCTACATGTATAGACATGTGGTGCACTTTGAGTAAAAGGCAGTCGCCATTACTACCTACCATGATATCATGGCCTGTACCATGTGTACTGGGATAATAATAAAAATATCTTGATAATGAGAATTTCTGAAACATTAATATACATTAGGTTCAAAATCCAATGAAGTTTCTTTTTAGGAAACTTCCCTGGAAGCCTAAAATTTTCATCTTAATACATTAGGTTTTTAACCTTTTCACCTTAATACATTAGGTTATTAACATGTCTGTTGAACAGCCATTCATATTGTTACGTAAAAAGAAAAATGGCGCATTCCAGAAGAGAATGTTTTTTTTTTTTTAGAACGTTCTAGAAAAATGTAGAAAAATCGGAGAACAACGGATTGGCCAATCAGTAGCGATTGCGCAATGCTCAAGCCTGGCGGCTTTGTGATTGGCTAACCATCCATGACCGTTCTGGAAAGATCTACTCTGGTATATATAGGGATGAGGAACTCATGCAAGGGTGAAGAAGAACGAAGTTACGTGGTGGACACCAAGCAAGCTGCTGTCACAAGAGGTCGGACTGCTGCTTACCGCCGACGCCGGTGTACTTCCTGGAAGATTCTAGAAGGTTCTACGAACTTTTGTCTCCTGTTCTGCTCCTGCTTTCCCTCACCGTGCTGCAGTTGGTGAGTTTGTAACTGCTGTTTTATTTATTGTTTCATTTTTGCACTCTTCTGTAATTATTTTATCGATTAGGCTTAAATAAACTCCTAAAGATCCTTTGTACCCACGGAAGTTATACTTTGTCAACCAACAACGCAACAATATATATTTTAAAGCTTCAAATGTTCAATTGTTGTATTTTAGATCAGAAAATGATTATGATAAAAATATATCAATGAATTATTATCATCATTGCTATACTACTACTAATAATTAACAGTTGATCAAATAATATTCATTTACTCGTAAAGAATGGAGTTCATTCACAATTAATAATAAATTAATTTTTAAATAGAGTTTTTTTTAACTATTGTTAAAATTCACAAAGCATATCTCTTTATTTTTTTTTAAATCTGATATATTCACAAACATTTATAAACTTTAAGAATTAAGAAAATTTTTTATCTTTGTTTCAATTTAAATGAAATTAAAATTAATACTTTTAAAATGGAATACATCATTTCTTTAAAAACTTTGAATACACGAGATCTGTAAGAAAAGTATCTGACCTTCAGGTAGAAAAAAATGTATATATACCTGGAGAACTGGAAGCCTAATTACCCTCAAAGTAGTCTCCTTGGGATTTCACGCACCTCTCCCAGCGGTGCCACTATTGTTGGAAACTTTCCGAGAAAGCCTTTTCGGAATAGTGTTTAGATTGGCTATCATTGCAGTCATAATGTCCTCTCTTGTCTGAAATCTTTCCTTACAATGGTCTTTTGAGTATAGGGTACAGATAGAAGTAGCAAGATGCCATTTCAGGATAGAAACGAGCCTGGCGAGCTACAGGAGTGGCTTTTCTCAAAAAAATGTTTAAATCGAGTACGAGGAATGTGCTGGAGCATTGCCGTAATGGAGGCGCCACTTGTTTGTTGATCACAACTCCGGTCTCTTGCGCCGTGCAGCTTCGGGTAGTTGGCGATTTATGCTCCAGGAGCCCGGGTTATCCTTATTTTCTTTCTCTCTGCGCTGTACAGGATCACTTAGGCGACGGAGGATATCCATGTGGTGCATACTCGCGGTATACCACACCGCAGGAGTCAAAGCAAGCAGTCAGCATAACTTTGACCTTGCTGCGTACTTGGCGGGCCATTTTTTGGTCTTGGTGACA